ACCCCTGAAGTAATTAAGTTAAGCTTCACAACTCAACTTGGCTATTACCCGATCAGTGGTGGAACTTCGTTACGATTCTAACCAACAGTGTGCGCCTCTGGATATGGCCAGGGCCTTATATCCTTGTGCATTGTGTTCTTCAAAGTTCTGCTAATGAAGGTATTGGATTCTTATACAGGTTATCATCCTTCAGGCCTATGATGTGATATTATTGATGATTCTTTTGATTCTTTCATACGAATTATTGACTACTCCTCTGAAGCCATGAAGTCTGCAGCATACCTTCTTATCAGAAGCAATTTCTCTGTTTCTTGTTACATTTGGCATTGACTGTCTTTAAAAACAGTCAATCCTGCAGTTAATTCCTTAAATTCTTCTGCAGGGCAATCAGTTGTCCTCATGGCAAAAAGCAACCGATTCTCAAACAAAGAGTTTGTAGCTTCAGATCCACCTTTTCCTAGACATGACTAATTGGTTTCAATTCCTGTATAAGTTTGTCCTTGTCCATTAATAGATTTATTCCAGACAGAGTTATTGCTGCTTCTTTCAATGTTTAACAGTTTATCTTTGTTGATTCTTTCAATCCGTGAACAGCTATTAAAGTTCTGAAGTTTACAATATCACATGACCTAGGAAGGTCTTGCCCATTACCTTTAATTTTCATCACAAACTTCATTCACTAGACATCTATTGCACCTATCTCCCTCACAACTATCAGTTGCTGAACCAGATTTGGTACCTTGCTACTGTGTTTGACCTAGAGGTAAACTATTGACAGTATATATTGTTAAGTCTGCCTAATTCCACTTCCTGATGTCTCCTGACTCTGTCCTGCATCAGCTCATTGAAAACCCTGATCCAAGCCTTGGTTACCTCCCAGAATGGGCTGAATCTTAGGTGAGATTTCTATCAACTCTTACAGTACAGAAACGATCTCTGCATAACCATGAAAAAGTGAACAAATGTAACATTTTTTAATATAAATTGTGAAAGGATAACAAATAGCAGTGTAAAGTGTAGGGGCAACAGCTGCATACTGGATTTCAGTTTCTCAGTGACCGATTACCACACATAGTCAAGTATGAATTGAGAAATTAAAATGATTAATTATTTTATGCCAAATTGTAACATTTTGAATCTCATATTCAATGGGCTGCATTTTACAGTGTAGGGTCCCAATGCCCCCAAACCTCTGGCATAAATGTAGGAGGGGCTTGCCCTGCTTTGCCAGTCTGCAGTTTTGTTCTTGGGTTATCAGTTAGCTTGAGGCCAATTGTCCAGCTCATTTTGGGAGGGAACCTGTGTCTGATAGCTGCCATCCAATTTCAGAAGCACCAGCAGGGGTGGTGAGCACCACTGAGGTTGTAACCAGTCCCAAATATAATTCATTCATGGAGCTGCATGAGAAGGCAAGTTCATAGTGGTGGGGAGAGAGGGTGACTTATTGCTGGGAGCCAGGCTGATACCATTCTAATTTTGTACTGTAATTAAACTTTGTACAGTGAATAACTGCCAATTCTGCAAGAAATGTTTGCAACTGCCACTGTGAAGTAAGGTGATTGTCATTTTTCACCAGTATTCAGTTGGTTTACCTATGGAACAAAATATTTTGGAAATATATAGCATTATAGAATTTTACAGTGCAGAAAGAGGCCGTTCAGCCTATCATGTCTGTGCTGGCTCCCAGAAGAATTATCCAGCCAGTCTCATTCTCCAGCCCCTATCTCTAGCCCTGTGAATTCATCACTTTTAAATCCAGCTCCTTTAACAAACTTCCTATGGAATCCACTTCTGCCATTCTCCCAGGAAGTGCATTCCAAATCCTAATAATTCTGAGTAAAGAAGTTTCTTCTCATCTCACACCTAGTGCTCTTGCTGACAGTCTTGAAATTGTGACCCCTAGTTACTGATGTATCAACTAGTAGAAACAAAATATTCTTCTTTACCCTTTCAAAATTGTTCATAATTTTGAACGCCTCAATAAAGTCACCTCTTAATCTTCTTTGCTGCCAGAGAATAAGTCTAATTTCTCAAATCTTTACTTGTATCTAAAATTCCTCATTCCTGGTATCATTCTAGTAAATGTCTTTTGCACTCTCTCCAAGACATTAACATCCTTCCTTAAATAATGTGCCCAGAAGTGAACATGATACTCCAAATGAGATCTGAACAATGATTTGCAGAGGTGTAGCATTACTTTGTTGCTTTTATACTCTATGCCTCTAATTATAAACCCAAGGATCCTACAAGCCTTCTAAACAACTTATTCAACTGGCCGAGCCACCTTCAGAGAATTATGCACTTGAATGCTGAGGTCCCTCTGCTCCTCTCCTTCCCCCAACGTTTTACCATTGAGCCTGTATTGTCTATCCATGTTTCTTCTACCAAAACATGTTACCTCACATCATTCTGCTTGGAAGATCATCTGCCAGGTGTCTGCTCATTTGGCCAACTTGTCAATGTGAAGTCGCTCAGTGTCATTTTCAAAGTTTAGTATCATCTGCAAATTTAGAGATTTTGCCCTCAACACTCATCTCTGAATCATTTATATAAATCAGAAAAAGCAAGGGTCCCAACACTGATCCCTGGGCAACACCACTTTCAACCCATCTCCAGTCTGAGAAGTGCCCATCGGTACCTACTCTTTGTTTCCTATCTTATGTCAAGATGCACTTTTTAACTTGAAACATCGACATTTCTCAGGTAATCTATAATAATGTATGTTATGATGCCATACTGTTTATGCTACTCAAGAAATCCAGATGCATGGACTAAAAATCTGGAGATGAGTTTAAATAACACCATGGTAGCTGAGGAATTCAAATTGGAACTAATTAAAACAAATCTGGAATAAAAATCTAGAGGTGGTAATTGTGATTATGAAGTATCACATTGTCACAAAAATAAAACATCTTATTCCCTTATGTCCTTTTAGGAAGGAAATCAGCTTCTTTACCCATCCAGCCCTGTAGGAGACTCGGGACTCTTTAGTATGTTTGTGGATGACACCAAAATTGATGGTATAGTGGACAGTGATGAAGATTATCTAAGATTACAAAAGGATCTTGATCGGTGTTCAATGGGCTGAGGAGTGGCAGGTGGAGTTTAAATTGGATAAATGAGAGATATTGCATTTTGGTAAAATGAACAAGAGCAAAAATTGTACCCTTAGTGGGAGGGATGTAGGTAGTGTTGTCAAACAGAGATACCTAGAGGTTCAGGTACAAAGTTCCTCAAAAGTTGCATCATAGGTAGACAGGATGGTTAAGAAGGCATTTGGCATGCTTGCCTACAATGCTCAGACCATTGAGTTTAGGAGTATAGAATGTCATGTTGAGGTTATACAGCATGTTCGTGAGGCCACTTTTGGAATACAGTGTACAGTTCTAGTCACCCTGCTGTAGGAAGGATATACTAAAGTGGAGAAGGTTCAGAAAAGATTTACAAGGATGTTGCCAGGATTTGAAAGTTTGAATTATAAGGAAAGCTGGATAGCTGGGACTTCTTTCACTGGAGCATAGGAGCTTGAGGGGTGACCTTATAGAGGTTAATAAACATCATGAGGGGCATAGATATGGTGAATAGCAAAGGGCTTTTCCCTAGATAGAGAAGTTTAAAATTAGAAGACATATTTTTAAGGTGAGAAGAGAAAGATTGAAAAGGGACCTGAGGGGCAACTTTTTCACACAGCGGATGATTCATACATGGAATGAAACGCTAGAAGTAGTGGTAGATGCAGGTATGTTACAACATTTAAAAGACTTTGGGGACAGGTACATGAATAGGAGAGGATTAGAGAGAAATGGGCCAAATGCAGGCAAGTGAGACTAGTTTAGATTAGGAAACTTGGGCGGCAAGGATGAGTTGGGCCGAAAGGTCTGTTTGTGTGCTGTATAACTCTTAACTCTGAGCAATCCTCTGAAACAATGAGGAAGCCATCCCACTATATTCTAGAAGCTAGCTCATCAGCAACTTCACAACAGCATTTAGGCATGGACAATAAAAATTGTCATTGTGAGCAACATCCTGACAGTAATGAACATAAAATTGTAGAAATGTCATCATACAGGTGGCCATTCCACTTATCCTGATAATGTTTCAAGTCCAGTGACCCTTCTCCTGCACACAGTGTTAAGTCTATTTTCTCCCAACAGACACTGCCAGATCTGCTGAGTTTCTCCAGCAATTTCTGTTTTTGTTTGTTTTCCAGCATCTGCAGTTCTTTGTTTTATTTTATTCCATTTACGCTGATATTGGCTCCCCATAAGTATGTACATGGCTCTATTCCCTTGTTCTTTTTTGTCTCGAATTATTTAACATTTCCGAATAAACTTAATTTTCTAAAAGTATTATAATTAGCTTGTCTTTAATGGGATGTTGATTAGATTACTTATTCTAATGATTCTTAGTGATTAAAATATATTTTTCCGGCTATCTTGGTGATGTTAATGCTGTCACCTATTGCAAATGATATTTGTTTTCTCAATTTGTTCAATAACCTTAAACAATTCTTCACAGGATCCTGCAACTGGTTATACTGGTTAAACCACTCGACGAGTAAGTAGAGGCATGGACTAAAACTCTGGAGATGAGTTCAAATAACACATTGGTAGCTGAGGATTTCAAACTAGAGCTAAAGAAAACAAATCTGAAATAAAAATCTAGAGATGGCAATTGTGATCATGAACAACCAAACTGTCACAAAAAGATGAGGCAACAATTGAAGATTCTTATTTAAATCTTAAAAAAAAATGACTGCAAGGAAGTCAATTTATAAATACAAAAGACGCAAAGTTAAACATGCACAGTTTAGTTAAAACCGAAAGAAGTGCTGTAAATCAGAAACAAATCTGCTGAGCCTTTCCAGCAATTTCTATTTTTATTTCTGATATAGAATTTAATGCTGGCCGGTTGGAGTGTAGCTTGAAAGCAGTTGGCTGCGCCCGATTGCTGAAACCCTATATAACCTTACTGTGTCTTTCTGAACACCACACGAAGTAGTTTGTTTAGAAACAGCGCCGTATGTTTTTTTTTCTCTCTGGCTAGATGTGCGGGAATGGAGACGTGGCGCCGAGCGGGACAGCTGTTGAGCGAGTCGTGGGCCGAAGTTATTGGATAAGAAAACACAGGCGACACGGTCGCCACCTGCAGCCTGCGGGCAATGTACCGGGGCCGCTGTATTTTGTGGCCGTCAGAGGCAACGCCGAATCCGAGGGACACACGCACATACACTTGTTTGCATGCGGCAGTAATTTTCAGTTCCTGTTTAAACACAGCAGCAGATAGCTTAGTGATGTGGTGAGAGCTGTTTACCTGTCCCTTTGGCAGCGCGGCTGGTGATTGCGCGGTCGATTCTGATTTTTACATAAAGTGCTACAAAGGCTGGACTGACCTTTTGCAAAATTCACATCATAAAACATTTCCAGTGCTGGGTAAGTTGGGCCCATTTCATACTTTTTAAACTCCAGGTCCAAAGTGTCAGTGGTTGTGGTGACTTGCTTTCGATATTTTTTTAAATCAGCCGAGATGTTAGTATACAGCTGTGATTTGAACTTTGGCCTCCTGGTTCAGAGGAAGGGATATTACCACTGTGCCACAGGACCCCAAGTAGCTTGCTTTAAACATCGTAACTGGCTGATTGGCAAGGCGTTCACAACATGTTTTCTGGCTGAACGTTTTTATGATGTGCCACCAACCGACTTTTTTTTTGGAAAGCCTCACATTCCCATTTCTTCTCTTTATTTTCTTGGTTTCTGTGATCTGGGACTCCAGAAATTCTAAAACCAGAGATCCAAATCCCTGATAATTTTGAATTTACAGTATTAGGCGTACCACTTTTAAAAACAGAAACTCCGCATCGGTCGTTTTAACCTTGGTTACTTGTAGTTATACCTCGGCAACACACACACACACCAGTCCGTATCTTGGGATAAATCCCATGTTGTGTGGTAAAAATTGCTTTAAGTGCTCCGATTACAGCTATAGTCCACGTTATTTGCGTCGATTGCCACTAAGCAGCTTCAGCTTGCAAACAACCTTTCTCCGATTGGAGAGAGCGGTTGATTGCTGATATTACGCGACATTAAAATACTCCCCCCCCACCTCCCCAAGTCACTAGGAGATACGACTTCGCGTTCTTTACGGCTGCATCCTGGTTAATGTTTGGCAGGAATTTTGCTTCCTCCAGTACTAACTCACAAGCATTGAAGGGTCATACAACTCAAGGAACAGGGGAGTGCGAGGTTGTAGCTTGAGCTCTTCAGGTCATTTGAACTTCATAATTGAAAATCATAAGTTTTGACTGCACAGCTCCCCGCCCGTCCCACCAGTACGTTTCACCAGAAGTTTTTTTTTTGACAGCACATTCGGTTCTTACTGGGCAGGTGGGCAGTGAAGAACTGGCCTTAGTGCCGAGACCACTGCACGACCACAAAGTTATACGAGGTATCAGTGTAAGTTTAGGGAGTGCTTCATTTCTTGGTAGGGCTTCTTCAGTTCAATGGGAACAAATCCCTGCTGTTTACTGGAAGAGGGAAACGAACCACGTATCCTCGTTTTAATATTTGATGGTATCGTTTACGGAGTCATGGTCAGAGATGTTCACAGTTCCCTCTGCAATTGATGGTTTATTTTTTGTCACTTGTATTTGACAGTGAATGATGCAGTAACATACAGTTAAAAGCATCAACAGTCGCCACAATCCAGCGTCATTTTGAATAGCTTAAGAATTAAAAGGATAAAAGATATAATTGAAAGAGAGAACCGAAAGAACTGCCGTTGCTGTAAATCAGAAACAAAAACTGGAATTGCTAGACAAGCTCAGCAGGTCTGGCAGCAGCGGTGGAGAGAAATTTGTGGGGTTAACGTTTCAGATCCAGTGACCCTCCCTCGGAACAGCTGTCTGGGCTACAGTTAATACGTTGCCTAAAATAATTGGGGATTTTTAAAAATGGGGAATGGAAAGTGGTCGCATATTCATTTACAAAATTGCAGAACTATTTCAGACTATGAAGAGAGGACATAGAACTGGCACCAGTCACAATTCAAACTAATTTTTAATGTTTGCTGTCCAGAGTGGAACAAACATTTCCACCTACCTACTGTCAATAGCTCTCATTAACCACAGTGTTTGAATTGATTATTCAAAACCCTGTATTTATTAGCTCTTTGTGTAGCCAGTTGAGGTCTGACTTTTGTGAAGATATTTTCCTAATAAACCTGTTCAGAGCTATTATGTGATCACTTCTGGAGCAGTTAGGAACTGACCCCAGGCCTCTTAGCTCAGAGGTAGGGATGCCCATATTTCCAATCCCTCTATTCTTGCATATTGTCCCACTTTCTACATTCAAAGTACAATTGCCAGTTCTTCTACCACCATTCATTTACTGACATTGAAATTCACATTTGGTTTATTTTTGCTAGTTCAACCATGTTATCACTATACTTGCCATTTGTATCATTTCTGCAAATTATTTGCACTTCCTGTTTTTACTCTGTAAATGCCTAATAAATATATTTTTATATGGCATGCAAATTCAGGCTTCTGTGAGCCCCAAATGTAAATCAGCATACACAGTAAACACAGAGTTGCAAAACCATAATCAGAAGGCACTCCATTAGCAACTTGAACTACTCTGAGAAAGTAATCTTAACCCTAAATCCTAATTTTAACTCAGGGCAGTGAGACACCTGTGAAATTTCAGTACATGAGCCTCTTTCAAATAAGGTTAAGTTGAATACACTACAAAATTACTTGAAGTACAGTGAAGTATTTTCTTTTGATGTCCTGAGAACAGTAAAGGCACTGAAAAACACAAGGTACTTTCTTCTTTCTTTATTAATATTCTAAATTGTTTAAGGTAAAATTTCTGTTTTCATGATCTGTCAGTTGGTTAATGCATATCTTGTAGTTCAGAGACATAAGATCAAGAAGACATCAGTATTTGAAAGAAAAACAGAAATTGCTGGAGAAACTAGCAGGTCTAGCAGCTTCTGTGGAGAGAAATCAAGAGTTAGCATTTCAAATCCAGTGACCCTTCATCAGTATTTGGTAGTGTCAAGTTAGGCAAGTTTATTTATGCTGCAGCAATTGTGGAAAAATAATGTTAGCCTTGGAATCCCTGAGCTGGGTGGGACTGGGATAGGGGTGGAAAGTATCATACATGGTTTTTGTTTCTAAGTGCTGGAAAGTGTGGAGAGTTGAAGATTGGTGTGAACTATATTGAGCTCTAGGATCAGCTTTTTTTGTAAGGATACCATATAAATGCAAATTATTGTTGTTTATCTGCAATGCCTTATACAGTTCAGTGATGGTCATTATCAAGTTTGCTTAGGTAGGAGTGCCAACATCCTAGAAATGTATCCAGCTGCACTCCTGAAAAAATAAAAGTGACATTGGGTGTGTACTGTGGAACAAAATTACTTGAGGCGTTGATGCTGAAATATTATTAACATGTTTCCATGACTAGTACACACAATCATATTGATCCCTGTGTTATTTTCAACCAGAAGCGTTCCAACATTAGGAGTATTAAAACTCGCAGGTTGCGAATTACATTGGGAAGGGGTAAAGTCATAACACACTTTATCAATGTACTGTGCTGCATATTTATTAAAAGATCCTGTATTTTGTTACATTTTCACAAAACATGTTTGAGCTTTTTGCCTAAGTAGAACACCTCATAGGTTCCTGTGAAATATAAAGTTCAAATAAAATGAATATCAGATTGGATATAAAACCAGTTGGGAGCTGAATACTGTGTACTTTGTATATGTATCCACCCCGATGCTTAAAATACTGTTTTGGCTTGGAACCTTTAGTATCCTATACATAATGTGAATTACAAAGAAGTTCCATGTATTTGATACTCTTTTACTTATTGTTCTCTGCAGTGTAAGCTGGTTATCTTCAAGTCCTCTGAGTGAAAAGAGGGAGTTGTGAACACTGGGATGCCTCAACTAACTGCAGCTGCTGCTTTGCAGATTGGTTTGTTAATATCTGCACTTCCTGCACAGTATATTTTATCTCGCTGGTCTGGCAGTGATTCTGCTCAGCGCATCCGGGCATCAAGAAGGTACTGTTGCATGTTCTCTTTCTTAACATCTGTTGATGTTTTTAATAATGTGCTACTGCTGTGGAAGGGAAATCTTCACAGACTTTGCATAGCTAGTGTCAACATCAAACACTCCCAAGTCAGGCATTGCAAAGAGGTAAGGCAATATGCCAACACTCCGTGACTGTGTTGATCCTCAGGATATACTACAGTCAAATTTTATAGCTTTCAAAATGTGCTTTGAGTAAAAATGTGTGCTGATAGGTGTTGTCACCACTATTCACTGCTTCAGTGCTAAATACTTAGATTTAATGGATTTTAACTGATTGGTCTGCCCAATATACATCAGTAAAGCAAAACGCAGTGTACTGTAGTTTTGGGCATTATGTGGATATTCTAGACAATCCTGGCTATACCCTGATGCATCAATTTATTGCCCACCACAATCCTATAATTTTATAATGTGTTGTACCATGTTTATGTATGATTATGGGTCAGTGTTGACTGATCAGTAGGGATGTGTCAAAATCAACATTTGCCACTGTGAACAGTAGCCTAAATACTTCTCTCTGTTTCTTATTCACTTAGAATGAGACAGCACAGAGGAGGTCATCTGAGCTATTGTACCAGCTCTTTGGTAGAGTTAGCCAATTATTTCCATTCCTCTACTTTCCCCCGATATTCTTGTACAAAAAAACTTGCTTAAAGTATTTACCAAATTTTCTTTGAAATAAAACAATTTAGTCTGGTTCTTCAGCCCTTTCCAGATGCCAAGAACTTACTGTGTTCAAAAGAAACTGTGTCCTCATATCTTTCACCATTCCTTAAATCTATGTCTTCTGGTTACCTTGTGCCACTGGCAACTCTTTCTCCTATCAGAAGCATTAACAACCCTACCAAATGTCTTAACTTCCCTACTCTAGGCAGAACAACCCCAGTTTTTTTTTATTATCTCTAACTGAGATTCCATATCTGTGGCCCATTCTAACACCCGAAGGAGTTACTGTCCATCCTTACATCATACAAATTAGAGATAGTAGGAACTGCAGATGCTGGAGAATCCGAGACAACAAGGTGCAGGGCTGGATGAACACAGCAGGCCAAGCAGCATCATAGGAGCAGAGAGGCTGACGTTTCGGGCCTAGACCCTTCATCAGAAAAGGGGGAGGGGAAGGGGGTTTTGAAATAAATAGGGAGAGAGTGGGAGGCGGATAGAAGAGGGATAGAGGAGAGGATAGGTGGAGAGGAAACAAACAGGTCGAAGAGGCGGGGATGGAGCCAGTAAAGGTGAGTGTAGGTAGGGAGTTAGGAAGGGGATAGGTCAGTCCAGGGAGGACGGACAGGTCAAGGGGGCCGGATGAGGTTGGTCGGTAGGAGATGGAGGTGCGGCTTGAGGTGGGAGGAGGGGATAGGTGGGAGGAAGAACAGGTTAGGGAGGCAGGGACGAGTTGGACTGGTTTTGGGATGCGGTGGGGGGAGGGGAGATTTTGAAACTTGTGAAATCCACATTGATACCATTGGGCTGCAGGGTTCCCAAGCGGAATATGAGTTGCTGTTCCTGCAACCTTCGGGTGGCATCGTTGTGGCACTGCAGGAGGCCCAGGATGGACATGTCATCTGAGGAATGGGAGGGGGAGTTGAAATGGTTCGCGACTGGGAGGTGCAGTTGTTTGTTGCGAACCGAGCGTAGGTGTTCTGCAAAGCGGTCCCTGAGTCTCCGCTTGGTTTCCCCGATGTAGAGGAAGCCACACCGGGTACAGCGGATGCAGTATACCACATTGGCAGATGTGCAGGTGAACATCTGCTTGATGTGGAAAGTCTTCTTGGGGCCTGGGATGGGGGTGAGGGAGGAGGTATGGGGGCAGGTGTAGCACTTCCTGCGGTTGCAGGGAAAAGTGCCGGGTGTGGTGGAGCTGGAGGGGAGTGTGGAGCGGACAAGGGAGTCACGGAGAGAGTTGTCCCTCCGGAAAGCAGATAAAGGTGGGGAGGGAAAGATGTCTTTGGTGGTGGGGTCGGATTGCAGATGGTGGAAGTGTCGGAGGATGATGCGTTGGATCCGGAGGTTGGTGGGGTGGTACGTGAGGACGAGGGGGATTCTTTTTTGGTTTTTATTGCGTGGACGGGGTGTGAGGGATGAGGTGCGGGAGATGTGGGAGACACGGTTGAGGGCGTTCTCGACCACTGAGGGGGGGAAGTTACGGTCCTTGAAAAACGAGGACAACTGAGATGTACGGGAGTGGAATGCCTCATCCTGGGAGCAGATGCGGCGGAGGCGAAGGAATTGGGAATAGGGGATAGCATTTTTGCAGGAAGGTGGGTGGGAGGAGGAGTATTCTAGGTAGCTGTGGGAGTCGGTGGGCTTGAAATGAATATCGGTTTCGAGGTGGTTGCCCGATATGGAGACAGAGAGGTCCAGGAAGGGGAGAGAGGTGTTAGAGATGGTCCAGGTAAACTTAAGGTTGGGGTGGAAGGTGTTAGTGAAGTGTATGAACTGTTCGAGCTCCTCGTGGGAGCACGAGGCGGCACCGATACAGTCATCAATGTAACGGAGGAAGAGGTGGGGTTTAGGGCCGGTGTAGGTACGGAAGAGGGATTGTTCCACGTAACCTACAAAGAGGCAGGCGTAGCTTGGGCCCATGCGGGTACCCATGGCTACCCCCTTTGTCTGTAGGAAGTGGGAGGAATTGAAAGAGAAGTTGTTGAGTGTGAGGATGAGTTCGGCTGAGCGGATGAGGCTATCAGTGGAGAGGGAACTGGTCGGGCCTGCGGGACAGGAAGAAGCGGAGGGCCTTAAGGCCATCTGCATGGGGAATGCAGGTGTAGAGGGACTGGACGTCCATGGTAAAGATGAGGTGTTGGGGGGGCTGAATTGCCTACTTCTATTCGGGAGATTCAGAAGTTGTCTTATCAATCGCGCCAATTTTAATGCACAATCGTTCAATTCCCTTCCCCACTACATTGCGTTGCCTTCAAGCTAACAACTTTTTGGAAGGTACACGCAACGTAAAAATATTTTTATCCGCTCCCTAAATACAGAGTGATAAGCTGCTCAAGCTCAGAAGCCCCGAACTCGAAGTCAAGTACTCCGAAAGAATGTGAAACACTGACAATCTATAAACTGCCGTATGTCTTCGATACTAAACATCACAAAAGCTGTTCATCCCTCCTTTCCTACGTGACACTTAAGACAATTTGATGATTCAAACAAACTTTCAAAATTATTTCACAGCAAATGGAAATTGACGTTGAACTCTAAGATGAAACTGCTATAGAAGGAAACATCAGTAGGACACAGCCCAGCAAACCATTTGCCACTAATTCACTTGCAGACACCTGTAAACCTGCTAGGAGGTACGCACCATGTAAATACATTTGAATAGTTCCCGGCATTGATCAACAGACAGGGAGCAAACTAAACTGAAAAGAGTAAAACTTCAAAAGACTGCCGCGAACTCTCAACAACACATGCTCGCAGCTCGATGTTTAATGCTATTAAACCTTTGGTTGAGAGCCGTGTTATTGTAGACAGACACTGAACGTCGCATGGTATCGGCTTGTTTAAGGAAATTAACGCATGTGACCCCCGCCAGCAGTAAAAGCAAGCTTCTCCGCCCATCCCAAACATAAACTTTGTTTTTCTCTCCAGAGAAAACCGTAAGAGCCGGATTACGCTGGACGTTGTTAAAGGGTATAAAGATGAAAGGTGTTTCATGTTCGTATCCCGTTTATACAGAAGAGGCTCACCCCCACTTTATTCGCCATTTTCAACCGTTCACCGCTGCAGTTGCGCTTTCTAGAAATTTCCAGAGGCGCGTGCTGACGGTGATGTCACCACTGACCCGACCTGACTGCACGTCCATTGAAACGGGGAATGGGGCAGGCCGATAAGTAACTCCAAAAGATAACAAGGTGTAGAGCTGGATGAACACAGCAGGCCAAGCAGCATCAGAGGATCTATCCATCTTCTATCCGCCTCCCCCTCTTTCCCTATTTATTTCAGATCCCCTTCCCCCTTCCCCTCCCCCATTTCAGAAGAAGGTCTAGGCCCGAAACGTCAGCCTTCCTGAACCTCTGATGCTGCTTGGCCTGCTGTGTTCATCCAGCTCTACACCTTGTTATCTTTTGGAGTTACTTATCGGCCTGCCCCATTCCCCGTTTCAATGGACGTGCAGTCAGGTCGGGTCAGTGGTGACATCACCGTCAGCACGCGCCTCTGGAAATTTCTAGAAAGCGCAACTGCAGCGGTGAACGGTTGAAAATGGCGAATAAAGTGGGGGTGAGCCTCTTCTGTATAAACGGGATACGAACATGAAACACCTTTCATCTTTATACCCTTTAACAACGTCCAGCGTAATCCGGCTCTTACGGTTTTCTCTGGAGAGAAAAACAAAGTTTATGTTTGGGATGGGCGGAGAAGCTTGCTTTTACTGCTGGCGGGGGTCACATGCGTTAATTTCCTTAAACAAGCCGATACCATGCGACGTTCAGTGTCTGTCTACAATAACACGGCTCTCAACCAAAGGTTTAATAGCATTAAACATCGAGCTGCGAGCATGTGTTGTTGAGAGTTCGCGGCAGTCTTTTGAAGTTTTACTCTTTTCAGTTTAGTTTGCTCCCTGTCTGTTGATCAATGCCGGGAACTATTCAAATGTATTTACATGGTGCGTACCTCCTAGCAGGTTTACAGGTGTCTGCAAGTGAATTAGTGGCAAATGGTTTGCTGGGCTGTGTCCTACTGATGTTTCCTTCTATAGCAGTTTCATCTTAGAGTTCAACGTCAATTTCCATTTGCTGTGAAATAATTTTGAAAGTTTGTTTGAATCATCAAATTGTCTTAAGTGTCACGTAGGAAAGGAGGGATGAACAGCTTTTGTGATGTTTAGTATCGAAGACATACGGCAGTTTATAGATTGTCAGTGTTTCACATTCTTTCGGAGTACTTGACTTCGAGTTCGGGGCTTCTGAGCTTGAGCAGCTTATCACTCTGTATTTAGGGAGCGGATAAAAATATTTTTACGTTG